GGGCAAGAAATCGCTGATCTGATTGGGCAGCCAAATTTTACATGTTTTTCCAGAGTCAATGATATTAAAATAAATACCAACTCTAAAGAAAATTACAAAATATTAATTGAACATTTTACTTCACGAAAATACGATTTCCATTGTTACCAACTGAGACTGGAAAAAGCTTACAGAGTCGTATTAAGAGGGCTTCATCCAACTACTTCTATAAGCGCATTTAAAATGGGTTTGGAAGAGATAGGCCATAGCGTAAGGAACATAGCTACCGTGCTTCATCCCAAGGAAAAATATCCGCTACCGCTTTTTTTCATAGATCTCGAACCTGCAAAAAACAACCCGGAAATTTGTAACGTAAAGCGTCTTTTATATTCAATAGTCCATTTTGAAGAGCCCAGACAAAGACCTATAGTAGTGCAATGCACTAACTGTCAAAATTTGGGAAACACAAAAGCCTACTGCCATCATCAGGCTAGATGCGTCAAATGTGCTGGGGCACATCCGTCTGATATTTGCCAGAAACCAAGGCAAGAGGCTGCTATATGTGCACTTTGTGGCGAGGGACACCCAGCGAGCTACAGAGGTGGCGTAGTTTATAAATATCTTCTGAAGCTGAGATCACATAATATGGCTTTGAAAAGCCTTAGCCTTGATCATAAAAGTGGGACTGAGGCTCCCGCAATCGATGATAGAACAAATTTCCCAGCACTGCCGTCGTCACCTTCTCAAACATCCAGCCTCAACCATCCATCTCCACAGCTACGGACTGTCCTCAACAGGGTTCGAGAAATTTATATCTCCAAACCACCATCAAGAACCAGCAGCCTCGACGACAGGTGCCTCAGGCTTCCCAATCCAAGCCTAAAACTGCTAAACCTCAGCCTCAACCTCCTCGTCCGCAAATCCCTCTTCACCATCTACCCTTAAGGGTCAAACTCCTGCCAGAGCATCCACACCCAGTTCCATCCGTTCCTAATCCCAATGTAAACCTTCCATCACAAGCCCAACAGAATATAGACCCAACTCCTCGCATCCCACGTCGGGCACAACCCCTTCCAGCAATCCTAGTTGCACAAATTACCCATCACATCCTCCGGACCTAAATCCACTTCACAGCCAAAAACCTTCCGACATCAATTCTGTCCTTTCAACATTCCTGATAGATCTTCAAGAGACTATCAAACCGCTTATTACCCTCCTCACCAGACTCCTTTCCGAAATCCCGTTCAACTTCCCCCGATGAATACAAAGCCCCTAGCTATCCTTTTATGAAACGCTAATGGACTACTCAACCACCGAGACGAACTAGACTTATTTCTCCATGACAATATCATTGACATTGCCCTTCTGACGGAAACTCACTTCACTCAACGGACACATTTCTACATACATGACTACATCACTAACAGATCTGACCACCCAGATAACACTTCCCACGCTGGTTCCTGCATCCTTATCCATAAATCTTTATCCCTCTCCCTTATTCCTTCCACTCCAACTGATGCCATTCAATCAACTTCTATAGTCCTTTCAACTCGCCTTTTCCATCTCACATTCTCAGCTGCATACTGTCCTCCTGGTAATTCCATCTCCTATAACCTCCTTGAATCCTTATTTCAATCCCTCGGATCGCGCTTTAATGCTGGAGGAGACTACATTGCTAAACACCAACGATGGGGTTGTCGAACATCCAACTCCCGCGGTAACATCCTTTCACGTATCTCATCTTCCAACAGTTATTCAATCCTCTCGCCCATGAGTCCTACTTATTGGCCAACATCACTCAAAAAACGTCCCGATATCCTAGATATATTTATCACCTCCCAGATTTCCTTCTCACAAGCCTTAATCAAATCACTCGATGACCTTTCTTCAGACCATAGTCCAGTGCTGCTTTCACTACATTCAAGCTATGCTCCTAAACCATCATCTCCTAAATTGATTACAGGACGAGTAAACTGGGACAACTTTCGTGAAGACTTGGAAAACAAACTAGACTTGAAAATTCCGCTTAAGACAAAAGAAGACATTAATGGTGCCATAGAAAAACTTACAAGATAAATAACAGACAGTATAAACAGTAACACCTTTAACAGTAAGATTAACAATTTACAAAAGACTAACTTGCCACAGCATATTCGTATCTTATTAAAGGAAAAACGCAGAGCAAGATCATAGTGGCATAGAACTAGATATCCAACAGATAAAACTCATTATACCCAACTGACTAACAAACTAAAATCAGAAATTAGAAAATACAAAATTCAAAATTCACTAAATTTTACTGAAAAACTTACACCTACCGACAAATCACTGTGGACGACGACTAAACGGCTCCTGAAATTTAAATACTTTGATCATCCACTTCTTACTGAAGCTCAAACTTGGTCCAAATCTGATGAAGAAAAATTTTTGCTCATCACCTCTTCAAAACTTTTAATCCATATCCTGATATCCTTAATCCAAATCAGCTTGAATTTATTGAAACAGAACTGGATATTCCACTCCAAATGACTCCTCCCCTAAAGCATTTCATCCTTCAGAAATATCTAATATTATTCACAGATCACCCTCCCGCAAAGCTCCTGGCCACGACCTAATCACTTCCCACATTCTTAAGCTACTTCCTCGCAAAGCCATTCTATTCCTTACTTACATTTATAACGCCGTACTCCGTTCCACATATTTTCCTGATCCTTGGAAACTATCTGTAGTCAAAATGATACATAAACCCAAAAAGCCACCAGAATACCCATCCTCTTACCGTCCTATCTCTCTTTTACCCATCATGGGCAAAATCCTGGAGAAGCTCATCTTAAAACGCCTGTATCCCATCCTAGATTCTAACCACATAATCCCTGATCACCAATTTGGACTCCGCACATCCCATTCCACTATCCAGCAATGTCATCGTGTGGTAGACGTAGTCTCCTCTGCATTGGAGCGCGGAATGTATTGCACTGGAGTTTTTCTCGACGTTGAACAGGCGTTTGATCGAGTCTGGCATCCGGGATTGCTTTACAAACTCCGTAAATTCCTTCCCCCTACATATTTTCTTATGATCAGTTCCTATCTTACTGATAAGCACTTCAAAGTAAATCACAATAATACCTATTCATCCCTCTTTTCTCAATCTGCCGGAGTTCCTCAAGGTAGTATCCTTGGTCCTATCCTTTACACAGTTTATACAGCTGACATCCCAACCCATCCTAACACTGTTATTACCACGTATGCCGATGATACATGTGTCCTATCCGTTAATAATGACCCAACCATTGCATCCCAAACTCTTCAATCACACATCACAAGCCTTGAAGAATGGTGTCAAAACTGGAGGATTAAAATAAATTCTAATAAATCCCATCAAATCACCTTTATCCATCGACGTAAACCTATGACCTCATGTCCCACAGTATCTTTTAATAATACCCCACTTATCCCTGTTGAACAAATCCGATACCTTGGACTTCACTTGGACAAACGTCTAACTTGGAATCCACATACCAGACTGAAACGACATGAAACCGCTCGACGTTTCCGACTACTCCAACACTTACTAGACAAACGCTCTAAACTTCCCATTAATTACAAAAGACTCATATACTTTACTATAATAAGACCTATTTGGACTTACGGAGTTGAGCTATGGGGCTAAACTATACTATCGAATTCCTCTCGCATCCAATCCTTACAATCCAAAATCCTTCGTAAAATCCTCAATGCTCCTTACTTTGTCACTAATAAAATAATCCATAAAGACCTCAATGTTCCATATGTTTCCGATTTGGCCAAATCCAGATACCTATCCTTCCATAATAAACTTCATAACCATCCGAATCCTCTTGTTTCTAACCTTGCTTGCTCTTCGATTCCTGATAGCCCTCCAAGGCGTCTGAAAAGAAGATGGCCTCGTGATCTTCTCATGTAGACAAATTATTAGAGTGCTACCAGTGGGTAGTTTCTCAACAAGCGTGTTTCATGTGATAATATTTCTCTGTACACATTTACTTGATGTGTTCATACTAATACAGTTGTAAATATCATAAAAAAAAAAATACTTATGTCACCTTTTTTGATTATGTTTACTTCATCGTTCCACACTTTGTAACGTCACAATACATCTCCCCTCTCCCTCTCCCTTGCAACCATTTCCTCACTGTGTTCCATCAACCTTTTGGAAGCAGGTTGGTTTTGTTTTTTCTTTCTTATTTCAGCCTTCTCGTTATTCTTATTTTCTTCCTTCCTTTCATTATTTTTCTCTGTTTTAACTCTTTATTATATTATATGTTGTCAGTACATTTTGATAGATTTTACAATATCTCAATTTTCTATCAAACTATTCTATTTGTAATATCTTAATTCTACTATTTAATTTCATTTCTTATATAACTTCATATTCCTTTTTTCTGTTTTACATTTTATTCTAAGATTACCATTCTAATACTTATGTCACTTTTTTTGATTATATTGACTTCATTATTCCACACTTTGTAACGTTATTATTATCTATCTTTTAGTTCTTACTCTTGTCATTATTCTACCTACTTCATTTTACTTTAATTTTTTTTACCTAGATTATTCATGTTTCTCATACCTTGTTATCTGGTTCTTTTCTTAGCCATGATGAAGGCCTGAACTTCAGGTCGAAACGTCGGCAAATGTCAAAATTAATATTATCATTTATTTTTGCCTCCTTATTTCTGACTGATCACCCCAACCATTCTTCCCTTTATTATTCACGACAGTCAACCATTTACCCACAATTACGATATTTATATGATTGGTTGGTCGGTCGCTGGGACATATATGATACAAAACGAACTAGGCACTGGTCAGATAAAATAATACCAATTTTCTCAGCATCCTTTCTGAAAAGTAAATAAATACAAATCAATAAAAGAAGGTTGTATAATAAAATATCCAATTTTTTCAGATGGTTTTTGCAGCTGTGTGTGTGTACATATATTTTATAGTAAAATATAAAATATTTGGTTTTTATTTACCTGTATAACATGTTTACAAACTGATTTGCCAACTCCAATAAAAAATCCAAAAAATATACTCTCTTTTTTATTTTAGTTTCCGATTGTCTAATAAACCAATATCTCCAACGTGGGATGGGTATTCGCTGATATGCTATATAATCAAGTTGAATGAAGTACCGTCGTAATGCTTCATAATATGCTCGACTTATAAAAAGTGGATTTAATATGCCTCCTTTTTCAGCCCCTTCTTCTATGAAATCCAGTAAAGAATTGATGAAATATTGCGGTAAAATGCAATAAAATGGCTCTGATATCAAACGTTGAAAAGTTTGATAATTATCATTATCCTCCGTTTCTTCATATAGATATTCATATTCATTTACATCGTAGTCCGATTCTGAAGAAGATCTCCTTTTTATGTTCAAAACACTGCCGTATGGATCTATTACAATATTATCACCAGCGTCAGAATCATCATCATCCATTGTGGTTTCCAAAGTGGAATTTGGAACACTTTCTGTGTAGAACTCCAACAACAATTGAGTCAACGTAGGTACTCGCAAATCAGCCAGGCAAGTAAATAAATTTTCTATTGGGTAGTTAGATAAATCAAGTATGTGAGCTCGAAGTGAATTCAGAATGGAAGTCATAGCCATTCTGAAAAATATTACATTGTCCATCGTCAATGGTACTTTTCTCATACCAGTTGAAGTTCCACCAATAGATAATGATCTTGTCGATTTTATGAGAGTGTTTTGTCGACTAGGTATTATAGGGATTTGATTCTGTGAAGCTGATGATAATGAAGATGATGGAGTATCTTCTTCCTTTGTAATTGGTGATATTTGGGGCTCTTTTGTTTTGATTGTTCCGAACTTTCTATACAAATCAGGTGGTAAATAATCTGTTGATTGTGAATCAACGGATTTAATTGATTCTGAGGAAGTACTCGAAATAGATGACTTATCCGAACCATGTAATCCAGCCTTTGTCAGCTCACGATCAATAACAGATTTTAGTAGACCCGAAAGATACCCAAGCTGAGCTGATAAGTAATGCTTCATATCTGGAACAAGGTTTAAAGCTTGACCCTTTTTTTTAGGTTTTTTTTTTATTATTGTAACAATAGAGGCTCTGGTTAGTTGTGTTGATTTGGATTGAATAGGATTGATCACTGACTGGCGGGATTTAGATGTTTGTAAAAGTTCATTTTTTTTCAATATCTTAAAACATTTTCCCAATGGTCTGCCTATAATTAAATAGTTTTGTAGAAAGTTAAGTTCTTTGTATTTACTGAACATTCTACTTGAGAACAAAGACATTAGGTAAATTATAATTGGGTTTAAAGAAAAAAGTTTTACTGGTTGATTTTTTACAGATATGGAATCGGATTTTACAGATAGCCTAACGGAGGGACCGTCAAAGAGATTAGGCGATGATTGTGGTGTTTTCAACTGATTTGCTGATAGAAATGAATGTTGAGCAGGACCGTCACCCTGTACTAATGAATATGTTGATTTAGTACCTAAGAAATCCTTGGAGTGAGATCTTATAACTGTTTCTGATACTGCTTTACGCCCTTCCATTTTTGTAGTTCCATTATTTTGTGTTAAGGTTCTACTTAGGTTGGGTCTTATAATGGCCATGAGCTTTTCAAAAGTTCTATCTTTACCAGCAATAATACGAGATAAGCCTCGTCTGATCTTCGGTGTTTTAAATATTTCATCCGAATCATCAAACTTGGGTGTATTTAATATTTCTATCACGGTTGGGAGACGGTACTTTATGAAATCGACTATTTGTATATCGGACGTTCCATGGCTGTACCTATGAATAAACGCGTTTCCAAATGTTGATAAATCTGAAAAACGAAAATAATTATTAATTATTGGGTTAATATTTACTAGATACAAAGTTACCAATGAAGGAAATGATGAGTATTTGTCTGCATCAATCCCTTTTGAAGATTGTTTTCGTCTTTTCCTCTTCTCGTGATTTTCTTCTCTGTCTGGGTTTGCTTTGTGGTCTCGAGAAAAAGAGCGATATAGTTTACCGAAAGCAGACGATTGTGAAGAAGAAATATCCTCTGATGAAACATCTTTTAAGATCAAAGACTCGCGGTTTCCGGAAGATATGGAAATTCGCGGATTATACCATATATCACCACGTTTTTCAAGCTGATTTACTGCTTCTTTACAACTTGCTATTTTTATTAATTCCAACATCATTTCGAAAAAAGTCTCTAGTTCTGGTATATATTTTTTTAGTAGCCATTGTTTTATCCGTGAACATTTTTCTATCAAGTTAAAAAATTTTAAAAGTACCGTATTTGCCAGATCCTTCGATGTATTGTAACATTTTTCTTCTGATCTTGCATGTGGGCAGGTTTCGAATCCAGTATCACTAAATCCTATATAATTGTCAACATCATAAAAATATTTAGAAAATAAAGAATAATTACGTAAAATATCAGAATCAGCACAAGTGTCAATTTTCTTGAGTAAAATACCGAGAAATGGTTTTGGCGTAAACAATTTTTTTATCATTAGTTTTTGTAAGAAACTATTGTATTTATGTCTCCTTTTGGTTCTCCAAAATCTCTTACTGAGTATATTATTTTTGAACCTTCTATTTTTCCATATGTTGCTCGATTGAATAAAATAACAATGAAAGCCTTTACGTGTGGCCCGATAAAACTTACCGTTTGGATAAAACATCCTGGCTACCTTGCGATAATTAGTAAATATTGGATTTTCATTATTGAGAAATTTATTCTCAGCTTGTATTACTTTTGGATGGATACAAAAGCCATAACGTTTTTGTCTCTTACAGGGCTTACTTTTCATACTCAAGCAATACCGAGAAATATATTTATTCACAAAACGTAAATCAATATCATTAATTTTCAAGTACCATGAGATAATGACATGGAATGGAACATTCATCAGCATATTACTTTTCCATATATCAATTGACGATAAAATACTCGAAAACGCTGAATCTTTCTGTTCAGTATAATGTATTAAATCGAACAACTGGGCCCGTTCCACTAAACGAAACACTAATACCGCATAGCATTCCATCATTTCGAAATATAGAACGGAAGAAGTATATAAAACTGATTGCAATAAAGCATCCGGCGATACACCTGATGACTTTTGTGACGCCATTGGAACCACGAAATTTAGCATCCAATCTGCTTTCGAATCAGGCAATGGGGCATCCCTTGATAGTGTTTCATAAAATATATATCTATCACATTTAACTCCGGTTCGTTCAAAAACGGAGTATTGTGATACAGAGGGATAAAATTTTGGCATTACTAGGCTTTTCCTGTCAAGATCGTATATCTGTTGAAACGCTGGAAGTGGTTGATATATGAGAAAATATGTAACTAAAATTTGAAATAAACAATTAATCATTGTTCAGTAAAAGTTATCTATACATATTATTTTTTTTTTCATAAGTTCTATTATTATTACAGGGATAGCAAGAGATTGTTTTATTTTTTTCCAAATACTTGAAAATAGTATATTCAGAAACATGACATTCTGTAACAATAAGGACAATGATTACATTGAGAAAAGAGTTCATTCACACCATATTTACTGAAATTATAAAGAAGTAAAATAAAAGCTGAATAGTAAATAAACTTTGATATTTAAAACGGAAAAAAATGTTTAAAATAAATAACAATAAAATAAACATAAGTAAAGTAAAATACGCCTTAAAAAAAGAGGTAGGTCTGTAGATTATCTACCACCAATCAAGGGAACTCCGGATCAGGCTAGTTCCACCACTTGTTAATTTTTATATTTGCCCCATAAGATGGTGTTATTATAATTGCTCTGTTCCCTATTTTTAGAAATGAATCAAAATTTATATGAATTTCTTGCTTAGCATTTTATGAAGAATTCTGGACATCGTTTGAGGTAATTAACATTTAATGTAAATAGATTTTAGAATATTTTGTGTTTGCCATTATTTTATTTTAATCCTTTAAATGATTAAGAAGTGTATTTTTCTCACCAAAATCTTCGCAAGTGAAATACTGAACAACACTCTATGCTAAAATTCCAATTATTTGAATAATTGAAGTGAAAAACACGAAGAGATCACGTCAGGTATTATACTACAAGGGAGCAGTTGGCCATACCCTCATTGAAAACCACCTTACCAATATAAGACAACTCATGTGCACCAATGCAGGATGTACGAGAACCAAGAAAAATAATGGAAGTTCGACCATTTGGTAGAACCAGAGGCAGACTCAGGATATTATTCAATGAATATATCACCAGGCTGGCCAATGAAAAAAGTTTAGAAAGCATCGGAGAACTGAAGATATTGGTACTAGGCCGTGAAAACTGGTTATGGTGGTTAGAAGCTCCTCTACGCTGAGAGGTAGAAGGGGAAGAATAAAAAAGAATTGTGGTGCACACACCACACGTTCAATGTAAGTTATAACATTTTGAAATTATACATCTATTAATTATGCATAGTAACACAGGTCGATTCAATATTCCAAATTAAGTCGAATGTAACAAAACTGAGTTAGATAAAAAATTGTTCATAAGCATACAAGGAAAATCCATTTAGTCGAAAATTATAGAAAAACCACATTTTGTATTATCAGTTCATCTTTTCAATTAAGCGAGAAAATACAGTAGTGCGCCGAGGATTTAATTTTGGTGGGTTTCAACCCGAAAGCTTTTTTTTTAAATACATAAGGATACTTACTTGGATGAAAAAATAAAGAAACTAACTACCTATATGAAATGAGATTTAAATGATACTTGAAGTGCTATTAAAAAAAAAAATGTAATTGCACAACCAATAATATTTTTAGCGATAATTTTTTTTATTTTTTTGATAAGACATGGTTACGTTTAGTAGGTGCTAATTGTAATTTCCCTAATGCTTACAGCCCTCCAGCAGTGGCTGATTGTATTATTATTCAATAAATAGATTTAAAAAAAAATTGTAATTTAACAATAGAACAATCAATTTAAATATTTTGCTTAGGTCGCTAAACGTACCAAATATGGGCCGATGAAAAAAAAAAAAATAGGTTTTCCATTTTAGGGGCGAGGGCTTCAGTCCTAAAGACCTTCCTCCCGCATATCCGTCAGTGAGCCTATAAGTATATATATATATATATATATATGTATGTGTGTATATATTTTATTCTAGAAAACGTCACTAAATCATTCAATGCCTTATTTTGCTGTTATAATAAGTTATAATTAACTTATTCCATATATGTATATGTTTTTTTTTTTTTTTAAGTTTTTTTGTAATCATGATATTTACAACTGTATTAATAAATAAAATACAGTATGTATATATTAAATCATTTATCAGTGAATTTTGCCTAGCCAGCTTTCCGTGAAGCACTGATAGGCTTGAACCTTGTCGAGTACATGAAAAAGGTTCGGAAAACCATTCGAGGTCCAAAAAGATACCCTTGGGTCCAGTTTGAGCTATTTTGTGGATTTGGGACATAACTCGAGCAATCCCCTCTATCCAAATCAAATTGAACAATCTACCTATTCCCATCCCAGCTATCCATCTCGAAGGTTGAAACAGTAGTATTCCCAAAACCTTTTGTAAATATATACATAGCCATGTTCTTTCCTTCTATTGGTAGGAGCCAAACCTGATTTAAAGTTTCCATGGTGCCATCCTTTAAATATTATATTTATTTACATTACTTTATTATTATTGTTTAGAATTTCTTTTTCTTTTCATCATATGGTTTGAATGGACAGCTTATCTCTATTATTGTTGATCTTAATTAAAATAGAATGTAATACGTTACAATGAAAACTGTAAATGATTAAATAAAAATTTCCCTAATTAATGACATAAAATAATTAACAATAACTGACATGCGGTTTGAAACTGAACATTTCAACTATAATTTATGATATAAATATATTTCCAGAATGCGTTAGTCTTAAGCCCTTTGGCTTTATGGAAGAGACACATAGACTGAAGTGGAACGAAAAACATCCACAATCTATTACCGGTTTAACTATGCAAAAGTATTTAAATAATAATAATAATAATAATAATAAAAGGCTTAGCGAACTCGAAGGTTCGATGCCGATACCAGCAATCGCTTGTTACACACCTCCCCCCACCGTTCGTCGTCCAAACCCAGTCCCTTTAGATCGGCTTTAACGCAATATACCCACCTTCACTTCGGTCTACCCCTCGGACGATTACCATTCGGTATAGCAAAGATTAACCTTTTAGGAATTCTTTCGTTACTAAGCCCAACAATTTTACAAGCCCATTTGATTTGGCCGCGATTTAATTATCTCAATTATATTAACCGGATAAAGTTCACGCTATTCGGCGTTGTGTAACCGTCTAAACTCTCCGGTTAACTCATACTTCTTCGGTCCGAATATCCTACGCAATACTTTATTTTCAAAAACCTTGTTCATCCCTTAATGTAAGAGGCCACGTTTCGCATTCATAAAGAACTGTAGCATCTCTTAATGCTCTTAATAATAACAACGATTTTGACATCGAGAACGCTATGGAATTGAAAGAGATAATTAAAAATGGCCAGGTAAGTATTAAAGACACAAAAATTATAACCTTGAATGCCGAATCACGTTTTACTAATATCCCATTAGTAGAATGCTTAAAAATTATAGATGACAATTGGGATAGCATAAAAAGTGAAACTAAGATCAAAGATAATAAAATTTTCATTGAAGGGGTCAATTTATGTACTAAATATAATAACGATTTTTATAAACAACGATGGGGAGGCGGGATGGGAAATACAATGTCAACGAACCTAAGTGGCAACTCATTATAACATAATTTTCAAAAATAGAACAAAAACCCCTGTTAATAAAAAAAATATATAGATGACCTGTTACTTATAATAAGAAAAAACTCAGGAAATGAAATATTGGAATGTTTCAACCAATACAACAAAATAATTAGATTCACAATTGAAACAGCCATAGATAACAAACTCAGATTTTTCGACATGGACATAATTTTGGACGAAGACCAAAATTAATTTACTTACCAAATGGACCAAAAAAGAAAAAATATCAATAGAATTCTTAATTTTAGATCAAACCATCCCAGATATCAAATATTTAACACAGCCAAAAGCCTGATGCACAAAGAAAC